TGGTCCTTATTTACACTTTCAGTTTCTCATACAAGAGAAACAATATGGTATTTACACATCTGATTTATTTCACTTGAGAGTATGGTCTCAAGGTGCATCCATTTACCTAGAAATGTCTCAAATTTATCCTTCTTTACATGGCAGAGTGGTATTCTAGTATTCCATTGCATAAAAAAAACCCCACATATTCTTTATCCATTCATCTGTTGATGGGCATTTGGGCTCTTTCCAAGATTTAGCTATTATAAATTGTGCTGCTATGAACATGGGTGCACATATATTTCTGTGGTATGATGCTTTTAATTCTTTTGGGATGATACCAGGAAGGGAAATAGTTAGATCAAATGGAACCTCTAGTTTTAGTTGTTTGAGGAGTCTCCATATTGATTTCCACAGTGGTTGCACCAGTCTACACTCCCACCAACAGGGGAGAAGGGTTCCTTCTTCTTTACAGCCCCACTGACATTTATTATTGGTTGGTTTCTTGATGATAGTCATTCTTTCTGGAGTGGTGGAATCTTAGTGTTGTTTTCATTTGCATCTCTTCAATGACTAGTGATGTTGAATATTTTTTCACATATTTATTTGCTGTTTGTACTTCTTTACAATTTTAGATGCCCATTTTTGGAGTGGGTCTTTAAACTTAGGGAGCCTGATTTTTTAAAGTTCTTTATATATTCTAGATAGTAGTCCTTTGAGGAACAGCTGACTAAATTTCTTTGTCTTTCTCTTCACTCTGTTGGTGGTTTCTTTGGCTGTACAAAAGCGTTTTAGTATGATGAGATCCCAGTTGCTGATTCTTTGTGATACTTCCTGTGAGATAGAGGGTTTGTCCATAAAGTCTTTGCCTACAGCAATGTCTTCAAGAGTTGTACCTGTTCTATCTTCCAGCAGATTTAGTGTTTTTGTTTCAATATTTAAATCTTTGGTCCATTTGATTTTAGTCTAGTACATGCTGAGAGACATGGGTCTAGGTTTACTCTTTGGCATGTGGAAAACCAGTTTTCCCAGCACAATAAAGAGGACATTTTTCTTCCAGTGACAGTGTTTGGCCCCTTTGTCGAAGATGAGGTGGCTGAGCATGTCTGGAGTTGTTTCTGCCTCTTCTAATCTGCTCCACTGATCCACAGGATTGTTCTGTTTTGTTTTGTTTTTTGGGTTCTTTTTTTCCATTACCATGCTGTTTTTATCACAGTAGATCTGTAGTATAATTTCAAGTCAGGGATTGTGTTGCCCCCTGGCTTGCCCTTGATGCCCAGAATTTTCTAGGACTCTTCTGGTTCCAAATGAATTTTAGGACTGTTTACTCTAATTCTGTGAGGTATGCTATGGATATTAGTAATAAAGATACCTATACCACAAGCAACTTACAAGCATCATTGCAGAAAACAATTTTTTAAAAAACAGAGAGAAGATGCAGGGGTAAGATGCATCCCCAGTTTGCCCGGGGCAAGTCCAGGGAGCAGTGAGGTGGAGGAAATCAGAAGCCACCCACCCATGTGACTTTAAAGAAGGACTTTAGTCTTAAACAACTGTAAATTCCAAAGTTGTGTATGAGATAGAAACTTGTCACTCATTAAAAATAATTAATCTTGACACTAAAATCTGTTGAGAATCCAATGGCATGCATTCTGTCAGTTAAAGTCCATAAGAATATAATTTGAGAATATGGAAAATATGGATTTGCACAATGTTTCAAAATAAGAGCATGTGTGATTATCAAATATTAACCAATTAGTGACAAAGTTGAAAGTCTGCAAATTTTTCAATATTTCTATGTACATGAAGAAAAGAGGGATCAATTTTCATTGGACTGCTCTATGTGTCCGTGCAATTTGAGATCACTGAAATGTTACACTGAGATGTGTCAAAGCAGAAATTGCCACAGAATGCAGGGAATTTGAAGATTCAAGATTTCCTCTGAAAACATTTTTTTACTCTATAGTAAAAAGATTCTAATAACAATTATTCAAGAAATCCAGAGAAATTATTAGCTGAGATTGAGTTATACCGTCATATGAAGATGTAGCTATTTAAACAAAAATGCAAAATATTTAATTTTCAGAAATTTTATCATCTAGAAATGACTAAAATATTACTTTTATGGATCAAACTGCTTTTTTCTTGTAATGTTGACATTTAGACAAATTTTCTAGTGAAATATCATTTCATGATTTCCACAGCCAAAAAAAAAATGTAGAGCTCTTTTAAATAGAAATAGGCAAGAAGTCCTGATGTAACCATGTATCTCTGATTCATTTCTGAATCAGTAATTTAGAAGCCATCATGCATGTGTAAGTTCTCAACCATATGTTTCCCTAGAAACAGGAAAAGCACTGACAAACATCTCTCAAAACTTTTCTGACATTCTAAAATAAAAATGTTTCTAGACCACAGTTAGAAAGAAAAAAAACTTTTACTACTTCATTTGATATGATTTTAATACCCCCAGGGCATTAAAACACCAAGAAGAAAGCTACCCTAAACTTATTTATTCTATATCAGAGTTGCAAATATGATTTGAGATTAATCCAATAAATGGAAGCCTTCCTGAGAAGAAAGATGAACACACAGCATGCCTGAAATGAATGTCACTGAAGTTCACATGAGACAGCATATCTTGGAGTAGAAATTCCCTTTCACAACACACAAGGCTAAAATTTTGAGCTAATATAAGTGCTTTGAAGATAAATATATGTAATAATTTCAAATATAAACTAGCAAGTCATACTTTAGTTTATTAAAAAAATGAACACAAATTGTTTGGAAATTCTTGGAAGTGCAGCCTTACTTCATCTGAACAAAATATGATTCTAAAACTTTTTAAAAAGTATCTTTTTTATTCCTCAGTAGACATACAAATGCCCACACAAAAAAAATAATATTGTGAGAATCAATCAGTTTTTAATACAATTTTTAGGTAGAAGTAAAGTTGGACTTTTTAAATTTTGCTTTATGGGTACACGATTGAATACATAAAGTTTACATTCACCTTAGGGAGTAAGTCCATGTAGGTAACACACCTCGATTCTTTTTTATTTCCTTTCACCTCCCCACCTACCTCTTTGTCTCTAGATAATCTCTCTCCATTTGCATTGTTATCGGTGCTACTGCAGTATTATTTTTAGTTTGTCTTTATGACATATGATGTTCACATTCCTTATGGGCATTTGGTACGTGTGGAAGACACATGCACATCTTTCTACGTCCCCTTCCCCTTTACCCTACTTGAACATTCAGTGTCTTGGATCCTTCACATTTAAAAAACTCTCCCTCTCTCTCTCCCTCTTTCTCTCTCTGTCTCTCTGTCTCTCCCTCTCTCTCCTCCTCTCTCCCTCTCCCTCTCTCTCCCTATCTCTCTGTTTCTCCCTCTCTCTCCCTGTCTCTCTCTGTCTCTCTGTCTCCCCCATCTGTCTCTCTCTCCCTGTCTCTCTCTCTCTCCCTCTCTCTCCCTCTCCCTCTCTCTCCCCCTCTCTCTGTTTCTCTCTCTCTCTCCCTCTCTCTGTCTCTCTGTCTCTCTCTGTCTCTGTCTCTCTCTGTCTCTCCCTCTCTCCCTCTCTCTCCCCCTCTCTGTGTCTCTCCCTCTCTCTCTCTGTCTCTCTCTCCCTCTCTCTCTGTTTCTCCCTCTCTCCCCCATCTGTCTCTCCCTCTCTCTGTCTCTCTCTGTCTCTGTCTCCCTCTCTGTCTCTGTCTCTCTCTCCCTCTCTGTCTCTCTCTCTCTCTCCCTCTCTCTCTCCCTCTCTCTCTGTCTCTCTCTCCCTCTCTCTCCCTCCCTCCCTCTTTCTATAAATCCTTTATTTGTCTCTTTATTTTCCCTTGGCCTTATGCAAATGAGAGATACCATACAGAAGTTAAGCTTGTGTGTCTGATTTATTTCACTTAACGTTACATTTCCAAGCGTATGAATTTTCACACAAGTATATCTAATTTATCTTTCTTTGTAGCTTAATAGTTTTCCATTATGTATAGATACCATTATACACAGATGGTACTGAGATGCTTAGAAGTATAACTGCCCTTTTTACTATTCAAGGATTACATATAAGCTCAGCAAAATTTCTGCACAATTACTAGGGGTTTTTTTGGAATTCAACACAACCCAAATGAACACACTTTCCTTTCCAAAAAGCAGGGAAGGAATGATTCACTCATGGTCAGGCATGGGCTGGGTGCTTTTAGGAACAGAAATGTAAGCAAGGAATCTAAAGCAGAATAAAGACAAGCATAAGCATGCACAGGCCAAATGGGTGAGTCTGAGATAACTTATCACTAGAAGGTCAGCAAGAGCATACATTCATGGAATTCTTTTTTGTGGAAAAACCATATCATGGATTAACTGTCTCAATGACTAAACTTTAAAACTAAGAATGTATCCCTCCACCACTCCCTATTTTTAAACCATTAAGAATCTGTAGAGATGACTGGGGAGGTTGGGGTGCTAGATAACCCTAAAGAATTGAGGCCCTGTGAGCAGGTGCCAACTCCCCATGATGACTGTAATCATGTACCACAAACTTCCACTAAGAACAATTTCAAAACAAAAACGTATAGAAAAAAGAGCAATCTTATGCCTCACTAGAACTGATTATTTTAACTAAGACTTATAAACTTGTAAGATATAAATATTTTCAAACTTTTACCTTAAAAATAAAATGGGAAGAGAGTGACTAAATCGTGAGTTCTGGAAACATCTTGAAAGGTTCCAGCTGCCAATCCATTGATATGCCAGCACACACAGGACAGTGCTTGGTGGGGAAATTTGCTCAGAACCATACAAGGAACAAATACAGAGTTGTGTTGACATTGGCAAGAGCACCAGACAAGGGTGAGAAACCTGGCACGGGAGTCCTGGGGAGCAGGGGCATTCTCCGCGGGCTCACAACGACTTTAAAGGGAATTGAAGACTTTTTATCTAAACTTTATTTTCAGAGAAGCATCACATATACTTTCTTCTTTCAGCAATTTTATGTAACTATTATTTTAAAACATTCATTCCTTACCTTTGAATCTTGAACTTTCTTGACTTTTTTCCTGCTGGAATTAAAACAGAAGTAGGTTAAAATCTTTAAGTAAATAAATGTGACCAACATTCTATTATGAAATAAGAGTATCAAAAGGAGTCAAAATTTATTTCCCTTTTTGGCACACTTACTCTAGAGACACTGTGACACAATTCTCACCTTAAAAACTGTGCAAAATCTTTTATTGCAGTAGGGATAACACTTGGCAGACATATATTTCTCTAAGAAACCTCCATCATACAAATATGGGTTAATAAATAAAAAGTGGTTAGTGAATAAGTCAATACTCACACGTCTCAAACGCCTTAGGCTGTTCCCTGTACTTCCAATAGATATTAAATGACGTGTTCAGAATTTGCTTTGAATTGCTCTACATTAACCATGGCTTGTTGGTGAAGGTGAAAGTTAAAGGGCAAACAGTGGAAAATTTCACTAACATGACACAAAAGACTTTCCAACTGTCGTTCCTTCAATCTAACTTAGAATTGGACCCCGTCTTACTTCTCTAAGGCTAAAATTGACAACACTTCTATTATTTATTCAAAGGCTGCTCCAGTTAGACCTGTCTCTCAGTTTGACATACTCCTTCTTAGTTACCAGGCAACCTCAGAAGAATTAGCTCTCTTTCAAGTTTTAAAGTAGACATCATGCCCTCTCTATCTTCTTGATTAAGAGTCAAGCAGTTTAATCTGTCTAAAATTCTCAGGGTCTCTCACTGAAAATAATTTAAAAAGATATTCCAAATAAAAAATGGTAATCACATATATAATGAACTGTAGAGTTACACAAATGTCAATAATTTGTGGTAACAATAAAAAGAAATATGAAAAACTTAAATTATTGCAGACATTAATCCCAAATTCCAAGCCTGAGAATAAAAATATATATTGACAAATGTATATCTATTAAAATAGCTAACCTAATGCTCTTATTTTAAGACTTTGAGTTCTAATTCTCCCATATTAACTGATGCAACCTCTCAGTTTATATTCTGTGCTGCCCTTACTTGGTTCATTGGTGTTTCTACTTCTGATTCATATTTAAAGTACCTGTTGGTAATTTAAATGTAAATTATTTCTGTCAAATACATTATTCTTTCATAATTATAGGATTATCAGGCTTAAATTTTCCAAAGTGGTATTTTTTAATGAATGAATCCCTCCCTCTCTCTCTCTTTCCACCCCCATTCATTCAGCCAGTCACTCAGTCATTCTTTCACTATGTATGTATGAATCACTTTTTATACGCTGCACAAGAGTGAACAAAATGGTTAAACAATGGCCTCAGGGAACGTGTTTCGTAAATGATAATGATTTCTACTTGGAAAGATCTAACATTAAAGGTAACAGTGTTGACCTGGAGAGAGACAACTAAACATATGGCCACAAAACTAAACTGATTTTTAATAAAATTCAAGTGCAATAAAAATAGGATACAAGCATACATATACAGGGAGACCATGATCTATGAGAGAAAAACACCTGCAAGTACACTGTGATAAAAAGGTTCTGACATTGTTAGAAATATCAATGTGGGACTGCACTGGCTTGAGTGAAGGTAGTGGAGTAGGAAGTGCAAACAGGAAGTTCGCAGCGATGAGACAGGCTAGCACATGGTGCATCCACTAGGATGCTGTGCTTTGTTTGTTCTGAGAGGGCCGAGGGAACACTAGAAATTCTACTCGGGGATACAATTATCTGATTACCTTTGCACAGAACCATTGTATGTGTTGACAACACTTTGAAAGGGGCAAGGGGACAATCAGGACTGGGGACTCGCAAGGGCATCCTGTAACCCAGGTGGGCAGCGCAGGTGGCCTGGGACAGTGTAGGAACAGAGCATGGGGATATCCTGCCACAGCTACCATGCTTTCCTGGTGGACTCAATGCTGGTATCTGTGATACCAGGCAAAGCAGACAAGTGTGATTCCAAGCATCTGAGCTGCTAGAAGAATGGAGTTATCTCTAACTTGAAGGAGAAAATGGCCAGGAAGAAATACTTTTACCCTTTCTTCATTTTTCCTCTAGCACTGCCATGTGCAGTTTGTCTTCCAATTCTTTGGTCAAGCCCATTCAATGCCCTGTAATGATTTCTACTTATCTCATCAATTCCTTGAGTCCAAGCTCCTAGGTATGGAGCACTTATCTTTCTTGCATATGGCTCAATCCTTTGATGTCTTTACTGATAATGGATTTGAGTACTACCCTTTCACCAAGGACGCATATAAGATTCATATATCTACTTGCGGTTTTCAGATGTCTGTTTAGATATCTAATAACATAGCCTACATGTCAAGTTCAAAACTGAATTTCTGGTCTTCCCTTGCCTCTTCTTTGTCTTCTGCATGGGAGCTGCAGTTAATGATTTCACTCTGCTAGTTGTTAAGACTCCTAGAATCATCCTTATACACTTCAGAGTTTATGGGTTTGCTGTTTTTCACATATTCACCTTGGACTTTCTCACAGGCAGATAGTTATGTCTTGGGAGATATCTGAGCAAGGCAGATAAACTTTGAACTCAGCAGTATATGTGTAAATATATCAGTCTGTATTCAAAACACACATAGAGTTGCATGACTTAGAACTACATACTAGAACAATATGAGAAAATGTAAACTGAAAATTAGCCAATAAAAGAGAATGCATAGATAGGAAAATTACAGGAAAAAATCAGGAGGGCAGGGAAGCATGAAATCCCAGGTAACACATTATTTGGGGAGGGGGGTTCCCAACAGTGTAACTCTCTGAGTGCAAGTATAACGGGTCTTTAAAAATGCCCATTCACATTACTGAATTAGATAGACTAACTGCCTTCAGATTTTTGGTATACTTATGGGCTTAGAAAACTTGAAGTTTTTAAAAAATGCAAGGAACATCAAAAAATGTTAAGAAGTGGTAAAAACTGAATGTGAGAAGCACGATTTGGAAAGCCTAGAAATGGCACATAGCGGGTACGTGAAGCGCTGCCCATAGAGACAGTGTGCTTGTGATGTGTTCACCTGGCATTTTCAGAGAAATTTCATAGGGTGATGATCAGTTCCTGTAATAAATATGCATGTAGACACAGAAAGGCTTTGTCACAGATATAACTGGTACGTAGGTCTGATACCATTTTATGTAACAGGAAGAAACGTCATCGGCTAAGGGTTGGGTTATTTTTCGGAAATTTAGGAGTCATCAAAGAATGCACTGCTTACTATTATTACTATTGTTAGTATTACTGCTATCATTTGAGATGCTGTGGGAAAGCCAGGGTCTCACATACACCAGGCAAGTGGCCAACCAACACCCTCTGAGATGTTAAAGGTGCTGCTTTTGTGAGAGCAGTGCAGAAGAATCTCACCCAATACAGCCTGTTATTCTTGAGTCGCCCCTGATGAGTTTGTTATTGTGGATTTATGATGCTGGTCTTAGTGGTGATTTAGCTATAGTCAAATAGGCTGAACAGTTTCTGATATTACATTTCATTATACAAGTTTGTCAGACCCAGTTCTCTATGCAATTGGATGTAATTACAACTTGTCAAAGGAAATATCCTCAAATGTCCTACAAACACAAAGTGTTGAGAAACATGAATTCGGGGAAGAGGAACTGGTGATCCAATGAGTGAACTTGAAGGAAAGGTGACAGACTAGGCACTGGGGAGAAATAAAAGCCCTCCAGTCACTATGGACATGTATGGGTCCCTTTCAGTAGAACCTTCTTGAGAATATTCAAAGTAGTAAGTGTTCCAGTGCGCTTTTATGAGTAAAATGTCACACTATTTATCCTGGAAATACATATACTGAAAAATTTATTTTACAAATGATCACTTCATGTTGGAAATATTAACTTCTCATAAGGAAAGTTATGAATAAAATTGTGATGATTTAATTATATAAGACCACTGAGTGGACAGAATTGCTTGTTACTTTCCGCACATCATATATTTGAAAAACACTGTTACAATTACAACTTAGCTCTTGTCTATATAACAGCAGAATGCCAATATATCTTTGTATGACTCAATTTTAATATTATTTCTAAAGTTCTGTGATATGGTGATCTTGTCTTAAAGTAAGATATATGTTCTGGCCATATGTCAAAGCTAAGTAATATCAAATGTTTTGTGTGTTTATTTTCTACTACAATATTACTTGGAAAATTTCCAAAGTGCTAAACATTAATTACCCAAATAGACTCCATCAAATCTAACCCAACATTTAAAGAGGGCTAATAGCCCTCTAGCAAAGGTAGTTTGGAGACAAGAATGGATTCATAAAAAACTTATGACTTCTTAACTATTTTTATTTTTTATTTATTTATTTTTTTTTTTTTTTGGTACTGGGGATCGAACTCGGGTCCTTGCGCTTGTGCAGCAGGCGGCGAAACCACTGAGCTAAATCTCCGGCCCCCGTAACTATTTTTAAACGGTGAAATATTTGTGACTTATATAAAATGAAGTCAAGTCAGGGTGACCAATAGTTTTGTAAATGAAGAGAGGTGGTACTAAAACATCTAGTCAACTAGAGTATAGCAAATAACAGGAATGCACTGGTTGCTACTTTAACTGGGTTTTTATAAAGAGAAGATGTTATTATTAAGACTATAATCCAATGTTTGCCCTTATGGCATGAAAATTGCTAACATAAAAGTCTAACTACCTAATTAAATTTCTACTCAGAACTTTTCCCTTCTTTCTGATATAATTATTTTCCAGACAAGTGCCAGCAATAGAGTGATGAAGTAAGTGCTAATTTGCAGTAGAATACTCCCATCCATTACCCATTTCTTCCTATGTGCTAGATGGTGAAAATATAAAATACTGAATTGTTTTTAAAATATTTATTAGAACTATTAACTAATGTGGATTTTAAAGTCACAGAAGTTGGGAATAGACCAATTCGGTAAGTCGCCTGTTCCTCACCTCAGAACACATCTCTCCTATGCCCTACGCTCACGAATGCCCATTAACACACGAGCTTCTCCCCAGTCCTCCCACACATTTTGTCAGAGACATCTATTTCACTGGTGG